TTCCAGAATAAAGTCCGGGTTCGGACTGAATATGGCTCTGCCATTCCAAACTTCCATGTGAAGGAGCCACCAACGAAGTTCCGTCCGGACTTCTGCAGTTATCCCGATCTTTTGGTCGTATGAGTGCCCCCGTCTTAGATGGTGAGCTTTCAATCTTTGCATGGCCCGATAGTGGAGGGGCCCCGGGAAAATTGCTTGTAGGATGACAGCAGCCCTACTATCCTGACCAGGAGTCTCAGAGGGAACGTGTCTCTCCGCAGAAAACGCTGTATCTCCTTCCGAATGTTCGCAATCTTCGATTTGGGAAGACGTAGTGTGCACGTTACTGAGTCTATCTCGAATCCGAGGAACTGGACGGTTTTCGATGGGGAGAGCGATGACTTTTCTCTGTTCACAATGAAGCCTAATGATTCCAGAAAGTGCACTATAAATTTCGTCTGAGATCGAAGCCTGGATGCATTTTCGCAGAATATCAGTATGTCGTCCAGGTATATCAGGCAGCGGGTACCCAATGTCCGTAAGTGCGCCACGGCTGGTTTCAGTAGTTTTGTGAAGCACCAAGGGGTGGAACTGAGCCCGAACGGGAGACATGTGAATTGGCACATGTGACCTCTCCAGTGGAAGCGAAGGAAAGGCCGGCTGTACTGGGCTATTGGAACCGATAGGTAGGCATCCTTTAAGTCCAATCGAGTGAACCAGTCGTGTTCCAGGAGTAAGTCTCTGAGGAGGTGTATGCCCTCCATTTTGAAGAGTCTGTAGGCTACGAATGTATTCAGATCTCGCAGGTTGATGACAGGTCAGTAGTCTCCCATCTTCTTCTGGACAACAAATATATTGCTGATGAAACCAGTGTCATCCGGAGCGAATTCGACCACTCCCTTGAAGAATAGCCTTCGGATTTCGTCATCTATGAGTTTGGCATGTACCGCTGACGTTCGTATCGGTTGTGGGCGACGTGCCTGGGTCGGAGTGTCCGTAAAATCGATCTTTTAACCCCTGATCGTTTGGAGGATCCAGGCGTCGGAGGATATCTTTTCCCAATTCTGTGAAAAGAGAGACAGTCTGCCAGCAGTTATATGAGATTGGCAATACATTAGCCGTGGAGTTCTCACCTGTATTGATGCGCCCGCGGCCGCGGGTGCGAGCCCCTCTGGGACGGAAGGATCCTCTAGTGAACGGTGGTCTCGATGGGAAGAAAGCTTGCGACGCTTGATTCCTGGGGCCTGTCGGCCAGAAGCGGCTGGTGGCTCGGCCCTGTTGGCGACCAGCCCTGCCGAAAACCCCTCTATATGTTGTGGGGTTGCAGAAGACTTGTTTGATCGAAGTTTGCGCTTTGCTTAACGTAGTAAACAAATTCACATGCTTCTTCAATTCACCAATGAACGACTCCCCAAACAGTTGGCCGTTGGCCCGTGGTCCCAACTCCTTTTTTCCCCAAGTTCCAGAAGTTTGGAGTCCATTTTCAGCAAAGCAGCCTTGCGTCTCTCCGCACATAGGGCGGCGTTAGTATTGCCCAACATGCATATAGCGCGTTGTGCCCATTCCCGGATGTCGTGGGCATCTAGAACATTGCCTCCTGTGAGGGCCTCATCAGCGAGATATAAGATCTTGGCTAGTGGGCCCAGCATGTCCAAGAGCTTATCTTGTGAGGCCTTGAGGCCCGTTTCGTGGGTCACGGCCCGCTCGTGACATGAACAGGACAACGGTAGTATCAAATTCAGGGGTGTGTGCAATTTTGTCCGGAAGTATGGGTCTCGGACATTCGGCCTTTAGCCTTGCACGCACCTCCTTTTCCATTGGCTCTCTCAGCCAGAAGTGGATAAACTGGGCCAGATGGTCCGGGAGACCCCACTCCGATGACCTTGGGTGGCGGATTGTGCGGGGGTCGAACATCGGCGTGCCTTGGGGGTCCAGGAAAGCGCCCTCTTCCGGACTGTCCGCCTGTATGCGGGATTTCCTATGCCCATGACGGGCGTCCTGGTCTTCAACTAGGTCAGACCCTGGGTCGCCCCGGTGCATGTCAAACCAGGCCTCTTCTTCGGACGGGGAGTCCTCCGCCTCCCACTCATCCATAACCTCCAGTGCGGGTGGCGGATTATGTTCCTCCTCGTCAGAGGACGTCAGCGGAAGGGTAGAAGGGCCCTGGCGTTCTGTCTGGCAGCTCCTCTTCAGTAGGGCCTTGCCCTTCGATTTTCGTGGGGCTGGGCCACTGCCCTTCCAGTGCCTCTTAGAGGTGACAATGTCCCCTGTAGACCTCTCTGGGTCTTTAGTATCAGGGTACCCACTCGGGTTCTGAACCAACAACTTGGCTATAGCCTTCTCCATCGAGGCTGCCACCGCAGAGTTGATCATCGACTGGAAGTCGGGTTGGGTTGGCTGAGAGGATTCACTCATTCTGTGTTAGTCTGTCTGTGGAAGACAGGACAGGGTCAGTTACCGAAGTACTTGAGTAGCAAACGGTAATAGTAATATTGTGGCTTTCCACTTACGACTGGGGTTCGCCCAGTGTATATAATGGACCCAACTGGTTCAATGACCGATCCTGTAAGGTATAGCACCGCTGTCTGCAATTATGGGCTAGCGAGGGGGTCACCCTCTGTGAGACCGGGATGAGCGGTCATAAATTGACATGTGATTCGTTTAGGCTGTGTCGCCTGATAATGATCTGGGACGTGCCCAATGATAATAGCCCAGTGGAAAACCTATTGCAGTAGGTTCCGCCTCCATTGATTGGGAGGAATTTACGGGTCACCCGAGTCGTAATGTGGAGGGTGCCGGTACTATGTATCTGCAGTACGCGTTAGGGGGGTCACCCAGAATCTTTACGGCTTGGTGCAAGTAAAGCACACGCCTGGGGGGTCACCCAGTGCAGGGGGGGTCACCCCTTTAATACCAATAATCCATGTGCTTGTGGGGGGGGTCACCCCACTCATAGGGGTCACCTCTGTAGAGTACACTCTTTTGCAATGTGCTATAATCAGGGAGTGTATCTTTAATTATTTATACTAATGGTCCTGAAATCCTCAGAGTGCTGTGGGCATATGGTCAACAGAAGATTTAACACCTTAAAGTGTATGTTTGAATTTCACAAATAAAGGGTGTGTTTTGGCAGTGCCTTTTCCCTTTAATAGACAGTAAGTTCCATAGACATCCAACCCTTGCAGTAGCTTGAACTTGTTTTAGTACCAATTGGCAGACTGAGGGTAGTGAGATAGGGAGGCAGACCGTTTGAGTGCCAGTCTGCCAGTAAGCAAGATGGCCGACCTGGATCTCGCGGTCTTTCGCGGGATCCAAGATGGCCGCCGTTCACGCCAAAAAAAACGATGCTCGGTCCGCGGTCGCGATGTTAGCCGCGATCGCGGGTCACCGGACAACAATAACAGAGAGCACATTGCTATATACTGCTTAATGAACTTACATTGATTTGGTCGGAGGTCATTCTTCGACTGGTTCTGCAGCGTACAGTAAAGCATTGAAAAGATGCGGCTATATATTGAATGCCTATTTCAAGGTTTATTCTGAGTATGGGCGGTATTGTGGTCTGGCATGTAGACTTGGAAGGAGATAATGGGGATGTTATGAAGTATATATGGGCAAATCTGAAATCTAGTGGTTTGGACATATTCAATTTAGTTTTGCAAGCTGGCAAAGGCTACACTGTCTTTGGGGGGTGCAATGCTGGCTAGGCATAATGCACCCTCTGAGGTATTGTGGGGGTGGGATTCCTGACCAGCACAGTCTAATGAAGGAGTTGAGATGACTGGTAAAGGTTATACCGCTGCCCGTTCTACTTCCCGACCAATTATGCGAACAACGTTTGGGAGATGGGAACCACCGACTGGGGGGCGGGGGGGCATTCTTGAATTAATGAGAATCCCTTGCATTGTATTCGCACAGGAACCCCCAAACATACACCGGTTGGGGCACCTATTTCCCTGGAATTGTGCCCGGCCGGTCAAAACCTTACCCAGGTGGCAATCTAATTCTGCCAAACGGATCTGAGTGATACTTGGCCAAGTTGTTCACTCAGATCAGAGCTAACTTTTGTAGGGTTCCTATTTATGATGGGGGTAATTTTGGGGTACTGTATATTTTGTACAGGTTTTTTCTGTACGTGAGAGATAATTGAGGTATAGTTTTCTCACGCATTTATCTCTTAGACACAAAAGGACCCTGGGAAGGAAGACCTGTAATGTTGTGTTGGAGACCCTATGTTACTGTTCTGTGCATAAATGCCGTGTGTGGCCTGAATAAAATCAGTTGACTCCCAGAACTATGTTTTGTCTGGTTACTGGGGGAATGGATGCTTTCATGTTTAACAGTTCCAGTCTAGCTGAGAGGGGGAATTAGCGAAGGTAACCAGTCGGGTTACCTGGGGTCCGCTACACATACAAACACACCCCTGTATTAAAATGTCAATAATATACAAACACCCCTACATTCAAACACCAACACTACAGAAAAGTACAACTGCATTTAAAAGCTAACACTACATACAAGCACACCCCAGCAAACATTACATTAAATTACATACAAGTATACCACTCCATTCCAATGGCAAAGGTACATACATATACACCACTACATGCACATACTCCATACAAAAAACACTCACATTCACACACAAACACTGCTCACAAATATAACCCTACAAGGATGGGCAAATGGTCCCTAGCTGGAATAGCATCATGGAAGTTGTACAACAGTTTGAGATCTTCCTTTGTCCACTATTGCACTAGAGAGGGCCCAAAGAAATGTCTTGCACCATGGACCTCTCTACATTTGTTCCGCCACTGCATACCACATATGTACAGTATAGCGTAAATCAATGTTAGCACTTAGTGTAAATCCATATGTAGATTGTGCACATAATGTAAGCAAAACTCAACAGTTTGCATCCTAATGTGCCAGCTAAGTTTAAAAGTTATTTACTGCAATAAACAGAGTTCAGTTGGGTAACCATGTTATTATTGAATTTAAAAAAATTATAAAAGGGGTGGGGCCAAGCCATCGACCAGAGCGGTCGCATGCAAGCAGAGCTCCGTCTTACAAGACATATCACTGCCGATACTCACAAATCCCGAGCTGGAAACCAAACCAGGGAGCACTGCCTGGGTTAAGTGCGACCTGGCAACGAGCCTGATACCCTCACAATGCCCTTCGGAGACTGGGAGCCTGAGCTGGCTAGCAGCCTAGAGGTAAGAGGACTGGGGGGAGGCGGCCATTCCCCCCCTGGCCCTATATCGGAAGAGCAGCTGTGCCAACACCCTGTTCCCCACCCCCCCCAGAACGGCGGGGGTCATCCCGGTCACATCTTGAAAGAGTACCAGCCTGATGGGGACCCAACGATGGAGCACCAGCACCGGCGGGAAGTAGCGAACCCATGCAAAATGGCCACCGCCACGAGCACCCAACCTGCAGAGAAGCCTTACATCCTCACTAAGCAGGACAATCTATTTGCAGAATTCTGGGAGAAGATAGCATTCAGAGAGCAGCAAGCCCAGATGCACAAACCTGTTTCCCACACTCCCACAGAGGGGCCGGCAAGCTCCCAATGCGGGCGCACACACCCTCCGGCAGCCAGAGCCCAAAAATGGTGCCGAAAGAGACGCGGCCACATGAGGGGCCGCAAACCAGCGAGGAAGACCCAGCCGACCGCGCTATATCACCGCAACAGGTACCCTGTAAAATCTGGCCTACCATCAAAGCAAGCAGCGGAGACCTTCCAGACTCGGTACGCAGGGTCCAGATTTGGTACGCCGCTCCACGCAGGGTCCAGAGGAGCGCGGACAGCACCCACCACACATTGCTCTCCTTCCCCACCTAGCGGACAACCGAGACCAAAGGGTGAGCCATGACTGGAGCCACGCAGAGACCCTGCTGATATGGCCCGCGAGTGGGGTGGGTTGAGTGATACCGGTCACAAGCGCACGACACGGAGGTAAAACACAGAGACAATCCGTGCAATCGCGAGCCCTGACGCTCGAAAACCTCCTGGCAAGCAATAATTGTTTAAAGCCTTTAACTGTTATATACCTCTTGTTGATGTTAATATATCCTGTATGCATGTCATTAATATGACCCTAGCTTTGCCGTAGCACTTATAATCATACTAGCATTAACCATTGCCTAGGTGAGAGCTAAGCCTGTATATTATAACATGCGATGTCTCATGTGAAACACACACGCGCAGTCAATCTTTACAATTTTGCGGTTAAGTCACGCACTGCATATAACATCTCTGGTGGAGCTTAGTTACAATGCCAAGCATACTATAAAAATATATAGTCTACAGAATAGATTAACACTTGCAGGATAGTGCTAAACCCCTAATATGAAAGCCTACCCAGGAGAATGCATTCGTATTGTATCACCGTGCCACTAAATCCTATGATAATTTTGCCTCCTATGAAGCAGGTCATGCACACACTAAAATTGAGCACCCCACTGACTAAGGGGCAGACATACACAGGAGTCACTCAGGCTCAAAAGCTTGCAGAAATCGTCTAGGTATAGCTACGTTATTATAGTTATGCTGAAATCAGTAACACATACGGTATGAAATCTGAGATTGTTATTTTCTTTTTGTGGTGTTATGCATGGCTGCTGATATGTACCAATTTGAGTGTGACTGTATGTGTGTGCAGTGGAGTGTTGTGTATCTATTGTGTAGTAGTGTGTGAACTGTGGAGTGTATTTGTGCAGTATGATAGTGTGTGACTCTTTTATATATATTCTCTTATTGTATATTTTTAGGCATGACTTCTGAGCATAGAATTATGGGAAGCTAGTGAGTAAACGCAATCCTTATTCCCCCTTCTATGATTTCTCTCTCCATACTCTTCCACCCCCACCCCTTCCACAATTATTAAAATCTGAAATGCATTTTCTTTCAAAACACATAATTTCAATCATTGTATAGAATGGCTGAGTTCCCCTGTACAGGCTAAACACTGATGCTCTGCTGTGTGAAAGTTCTGTGTGGTAGAGAGGGAGAGCAGGTATTTGATGTGACATCACCCCATCCACAGAGCTGCAGCCAATCATGGGAGCTTGAGTTTGTGTAGTGGGAAGATGGAAGCCAATTCCATTGTAAAAAAAACCATGTAATAAGAACCACAGTAATAGTGATGAAACTCAGGGCTCCAGGCCACGACCAATTTAAGTGGTCACTACGCACGTGGCAAAGGCCTTGTAAACAAACACTGTGTTCTTCTGACTCCAGAGTGTCCGGCTTTATGGAGTCAAGGGCTGGGGAAACAAATGTGGATACATTTGGTTTAAATAACATAGAAACCTATTGCTGAAGCTAGAAGATTAGCCAAATGCAAATACAGTATACTATCAAATTCTATTTTCTCCTAATTTTTTGTTTGTTCTCTCTTCATTTCTAAAGTATTTTGTTTTTAAACATAAACAAACCAAAATATTGCAAAATAAAGCATAAACAGTGGGCTCAATGTCAACACTGATGACATCCTTATCTGATAAGACCAAACTTTATACTTTTGTGCACTTCTCCCTCAGTGGGTTACTCAAAATATTAGCAACTTCCTTAAAACTTTCATGAAAACCCAGATTTGACCTTACCAGCCTAACAACAAAGCCTTATATTGTATAGGGTTCCGTACCCTATTAATGCAATGCTATATCATTAATCTGTTCTGTAAACTTATTTATGGGACAAGGGAGTTGAAAATTTTAAGCGTGACAATTTGGTTATCATAAATTAGTAATGAAAATTACAAGAGAAATCAGAGTATACACAAAACAAAAACACACCTATTTCATATGAAAAATATGCATACTTAAAAGAATACACCAAGCACCATAACCACTACAGCTATCAGTGTATACACTGAATTACTGACAATTTTAGATGTGAAGCTTATAGAAATACAAACATGTATTCCTAGCGCTATAGTATACTGCTACCTATTGTGGTGTGGCCCTCCCACTGCCATGTGAAGGTTATAGTTTTACTTACCTTTCAGCCCTCACCTTGCCGGTATCCATGATGCACTCCACCTCAGTGTAGATTATATGAGCCATTGTATCAGGAAACACTGGGAGGTTAGTGCACATATGCAGTAAAACGCCACACTGCGTCAATCAAATGGTCTCTACGAGGTCATCAGATTGAAATAGCTGAGTTTAACTTGGCTACTGGGGTGGTAGTGACTCTAGTGGCTGTCAGTGTGACATGTCAACCCCACAATGAAAACATTGGCATTCAAGCAAAATGACTATGTTCTCAGTTGCAAGGTTAAAAGTACAGGATCTTGGCACTCAGACCACTGCATTGAGAAGAAGTGGTCTTGGTGCCTGTAGTGTTCTTTTAATTATAATTAGTCAATTGTTTCAAGTTGAAACCTGAAGTATTTCTAGCACCTGGGTGTGTCCTATATTATTGGACTTGCATCAAAACCACTTTTCTTGTTTTTCTTTTATCTTCAAAATCTAAACTTTAGTGGCTTTCAGTGTCTTATCTAATATAGTTCATATGTGGCACAATGTCACTTCCCTTTTTTATAGAAACATAATACAGTCTGCACATCTGGTTTTATACAGAAACGTTAATTTAATATTGTAGGTGTGGAACTTGCCCATCTATAGTCCCATAACCAAAGTAAAATTTGTTTTGCCCAAAAAGATTGCAAGCTCTTCCTGATAAACATCTCTAAATGTATATACTAAATACAGGCTTTTTCATTGAAGTAAGAATTTAAAACCTGCTAAGATGCTTGGAAATTGCACATGGGCCGAGCGTCAAAATTCAAAGTTCGGTAAAAACTGATATGGCTTGCTCTCCAATGTGCCCCTTCAACATCCACATATCCCTGAAAAGGGTACACATGGGGGTATTGCTGCATTAAGAAGACATAGCCGAGCAACATATTAGGTGTTATACTGCCATAGCACACAGGATTACAAAATATACAGTAACATCTCCAAGTGTGTGTCAAAACGGCAGAAAAAAATGCTAATTGTAACTAGACTTGGTACAAAATAACAAAAAAATGATCCTACGCTAAGGTTTAAAATATGCCTTTTGAAATACCCTGGGGTGTCTATTTTAAGAAATGGTAGGCCTTTGTGGGGTTTTTTTGAACTAGTATAACAGCAACCAAACAACTAGTGTTCTAGATGTGGACAGGAGACGCTCAACAATACCGTCAAATTTTAGGTTAGAATATTATGAAAATATGAGCACATTCATATGCAGTTACTTGAGCAGTTTGATTTGCTCACACAGACTTTGTTAAGAGAATTCAGAAAATTAAACATTGTTCCGGAGCCCAGAGTTCCAGGCTGACACATGTAAATTCTGTGTAACATTAGTTGCAGTGAATTCCAGTCATTGGCTGAGAGCAGTCAGCTGATGTTCTTAGCCAATGAATGTTGACTGCCGCGGCTATCAGCATCTACAGCTTTACAGAAGCATGAAGAGCGTTACTGGACCACCAAGGAGCACTGGTAGTAGAATAGTAGGGGAAACAGTTGCTAAACAGATTTCCCCATTACCAGAGTGCTTATAATACTTGAGGTAACCCTTCAAGACATCTTACTGTGGGAAACATTGCTCGCTGTGCCCTTCTCTCTTTTTTTACATTGTTTCAAGTGTTACATGTTGTGTGACCTCTCATGGGAATATTTTTCCTAACATTATATCCTACTTAAAAATATATCTGGGTGAAACTGTAATAATCATTTCAATGTATCTTGAACACACACATACATTGGTCACTTCAGCAAGATCAGTTTCAGCAGAATAATGTCAAGAATTTTAAACAGAATTGGATTCGATGACACTAGTCAGCCAGACATACTAGCCATTCGAGAGATAAATAGGCAGGGCATCCATAAGGGCATGACAACATGATGATTGTCATAGGCCCAGCACTCCTGGGGGGACCCAGGTGCCCAGGCCACACATTCCAAATGTGTACACATAAATAGAGAATATCACTTTACATATATGCCCTGGGCACCAGGCGAAGCTACTGCCGGTGCAGCCTGTCTGCACGCAGGGCCACTCGATGGGCATATATTTCTTAAAGGGCTCAGTCGTACGCTTTGGATCTTTAATAGATCTAATGATCCTGGCAGTGCTGGGAGGAAGTGAGCACAGAAGGATAAGGCACAGGAGAGAGCAGAGAAGAGGGGAGAGTCAGAAGCTGGCTCCAACCAGCCCCAGCCAGCCACCCTCCAGCACCCAACAGGTAAGAAAAAGGAGATTGGCTAATAAAATGACCAACATGTGTGTGTCAGTGTGTATCTGTGTGTCTGTGTAGCTGTGTGTCCATGTGTGTTTCTGTGTGTCTAAATATTTGTGTAGGTGTATTTGCATGTATGTCAGTGTATCTGTATGTGTGTCACTGTGTGTGCATGTATGGTGTATCAGTGTGTGTTTGTGTGTATACACTACACACAAATGCACACCAACAATCATACACACATACCTCCATACAAAAACATTACATTCAAACACTCAAACATTGTTCAGTGTTAAATACAACCCTGCAAGGATGGACAAATTGTAGATCCCCAGTTGGCAAAGCATTCTAGGACTTGTCCGCCAGATGGGGATCTACATTTTAACCGCCCTTGTGCAAGAGTAGGCCCCCAAATAAATTTGACACCACTGCCCCTGCAGGCCCCTGGCAGTCTGTATAGTGAAGAGGGGGCCCAGCACAAGGCGATCTTCAGCTTACAGAATCTCTCTCCAACTCTTGCGAGCCCCTGGCCATTACCCACATCATCCGTAACACACACACTGCATCCACTACACACACACACACACACACACTGCATCCTTGTGAGCAGATTCAGAGGCGGGTCCTGTGAGTGGATTTTGTGGTCAGGGCTGCCATCAGAAATTTTGTGGCCCCTGACACAGATCATGGTCTGGGCCCCAAAATGTCTGATGGCATCCCTGCAAATAGGCATAAGGAGATGGGATGGTAATTAAATAGCAAGTTGCTTTTAGTGGGACCATTTTATGGTTGGAGTAATCAGTCCTTGTTTGAAGTGAATGGGGTTCCAGAAAAGAGAGAGACTGAAGATTTTTGTTATTTATGAAACAAGAACTCAGAAGAGAAATCCTGGGGAGATAGCAGAGCTAAGTGGATAAGGGCACATGTATGAGTGTGGGGATGGATGCATGGGATTGGTTGTGTATGCATGTGTGGGTGGGGTTGTGTGGGGAGTGATTTTGTGGTGGGATGGTCTTACCTCAGTGCCACTTGGGATTCGGGCCAGCAAACACTTCCTGTCCTCGGTCTGCTCCTGTTTGTCCTAATCTGCTTCAGGGATGGATGTTGAGGTTATTCTGGCATCCCTCAGAGCTGCTGCTGTGCTGTATGGTGGCTGGCTCCTTTGTGAGCAATATGCTCACCTTAATCCTGGTATGGATGCCGGCGTGGTTCCACCCTCTCCCCTATGCCCGCCTGTGCATCTGTCCCCTGATGCTGCACCTCGGGCCTGGTTGAGGAGTAGGAGCCAAGGTGGAATGTCTGGGGCTGCAGACATATGCCGTGTGGGACTTGCAGCCTCCCCCTCCTGCTGCCACATCGCGGAGTTGTTGCCGCAGGTGTGTCCTTGCCAATTCAGTTTGGGGGGCTATGTCAATATGTAGAATTATGTGGTCAAGTTTCAGGTCTCAACCTTCCCTGCTTTAAATGGTTAACTTTAGGTTACCTGTTTGGAAGTGCCCACCGAGCGAGGAAAAGGTCGGCTGGTGGTAAGCATTAGAAGGAAAGGGATTTATGGTCGAGGGGGGGAGGTGAGAATACGTGGTGCATAGGCACATGGTAAGTATATTGGCAAAGACGTTTGGGTTATACTGTATGACACTATGTGTTAAGCTATATGCTAAGTTATGGTTATTTATGTATGACAGTTTGGTTGTATTAAGAAAAGATAAGGTTTACAATAAATTATGGATGTGTTATGCAGTATTTATCATGTTTTAATAAATGCCTGTTTTATCCAAATTACGTTGTCTGTCATTATTTGGGGGGGTAAGTGGGATAGGTTTCTGTTCTTATTCTGCATCACGATTCCCCACTACATACATACATGCATGACAGAGTGTATAATATCAGGGGCAAAAGTGGTTGGTCAAAATGATCTGGGAGAATGTGGCAGACGGAACAGAGTGGAGGGCAGGATAATCTGTTACTATCGATCTTTCTAATACGTTGTCAAGTTGATAGCCATGAGGTTGGGGAATAAGCCAGTCAATTGAGTTAAATGGACACTTAAGTATCAAAACATCTTTAACTTTGATGTATAGATCATGCACCTGCAGTGTCACTGCTCAATTCTTTCATCTAGGACTTAGAGTATTATTGGGGCCCATAGTGTCCCTTTAATACATTTGTTAGGTTTTGGCCTGATTAATTGCTGTATTTGTGGGGAGGGAGTTTGCATGCTAAAAACTTTATAGTCTTCGCATTAAATAAATGTTTTGCAGAATGCTGCACCGTAAGCCTGCTGCTTTAAAATATTTCTTTATCTAAGCAGCACTGAGTGATCTGAACTACAAAGCAACCTGCATTTGAAGGAGAGGACATCCAGGGAGGCATATAATAAGGATATCACTACCTATTTATAGTTTCTCTGACTGTCTGCAGCCACGTTGTGAATTAAAAGCAGCTCACTCAGTTGTGCACATAATTGATAAATGTCAGGGTTTACCTGGGGTTGGAGTCCAGAGGGCAAAGATAATGCTCATATTTGCAAAATATATATTTTTTAAACTGTGTATAATACACGAAAGTGGAATGACTGCTGCATGTAGATATAGCAAAAATGTTGACATTTCTCTTTCCTCAAAGTTATGACCATAATGGCCATTCCCTTGAAAGGCTTAAACATCTCTTCACGTTTATATTGATGAAGTACTATACTGTGTCTATTCAGAAAATAAACATGCAGCAGCCAACTAGCATTGAAGTGAAATAAAGTACTGGGTAGCCATTCAGACAGATGCAAAAGTCCCTCTATAAAAGGAAACTATCACTCCCTGGAATTTACACCACTTCGAAAACATTAAAGGACACTATAGTCACCAAAACCACATTAGTTTAATGAAGCAATTTTTTCGATCATGCCTCTGCAGTCTCACTGCTCAATCTTCTGCAATTTACTAGTTAAATCACTTTTGTTTTTGTATATGCAGCCCTAGTCACACCTCCCATGGCTGTGACTGGCACAGCCTGCATAAAAAACTAAATTATTTCATTTTCAATCAGATAATATCTTACTTTAAAAACATTTTTTAAATTTCTGGAACTTTAATTACATACAGGAGGCTACTGCAGGGACTGGCAAGCCATTTACAGAGCATGAAATAAGAAATTCTAAATTAAACAGAATTTGCAAAAAAGAAAGTATAAACATTAGAAGACTCTTTACAGGAAGTGTTTGAGAAGGCTGTGTAAGTCACACGCAGGGAGGTGTGACTAGGGCTGCATAAACAAAGTGATTCAACTCCTAAATAGCAGAATATTGATGAGTGAGACTGCAGGGGCATGATCTGTACACCAAAACTGCTTCATTAAGGTAAAGTTGTTTTGGTGACTGTAGTGTCCCTTTAATAATCAACTTGTCTTAACCTTTTTTTTGTGAGACGCTCGATTTCTTTAAAAATGGTTAGAAACATTAAGCAAATGTGCTGCAGAGAACAGAGCTAATATGAATGCATTTAATATTATTGTTTACACCTTACAAATATATACGTATTTTTAAAGGGTTATTCCAACCTCCATGACCACTTGTGATTTTAGAAGTGGTCATGGAGGAAAGGATCTGTATATGCTTGTTTTCTGCTTGATACGCTGCAATACAGAGATACTTGCACTTTTGTGCTGAGGGTTAGTTGCATCACCTGCACACATGACTGCCCAACGTTAAATCTGTGAAAAATGACATGTGTCATCAACACTTACTTTAATGATGTGCCCTCAATTAACCTCACTCTCTCTGTAATTCCACCGAGTCTCATTCCACTATATGTATCCCTTACCCTCCCCTTGTCCACACATGGTTCACTGCATTGGCATCCCATATTTCCTCTCTTCATTCCTCCCCTCACCGCGCATTCACCAAAGGTCCATTAGTGCTTCTCTAACCATTTGATTGGACCCCGACCCAGAAGAGGATAATGCAGTGTTGATTACAAAGAAAGAGGGGAAATCATTAGGGAAAACAGGTCCCAGTGCTGGATTTCAGATAAGCTTTGACCTATTTTAATACATCATTCAAGCAAAAATTTGCAAATTGTAATGGAGTAAACCTTTAAAGGACCACTATAGTGTCAGGAAAACAAACTTGTTTTCCTGTCACTATATAATCCTTAGGTCCCCCCCCACCCTCGGGGCCACTTACCTTTATCCAGCGCCGGGCTTCCTCGGTGCTGGTGACCTCTCCTCCCCCTCCGACGTCAGCTCCCAAGTGGAGCCGAAATGCCCATAGGAAAGGATTTCTCAATGCTTTCCTATGGATGTTCTGCATGCTCAATGTGATTTTCGCATTGAGCATCGGGGAAGCGCCTCTAGCGGCTGTCAGGAAGACAGCCACTAGAGGCTGAATTAGCCCTGTAATGTAAACCTGCTATGTTTACAACTGAAGGGTTAAAACCTGGGGGACCTGGCACCCAGACCACTTCATTGAGCTGAAGTGGTCTGGGTGACTATAGTGGTCCTTTAAATATAGTGATAGACATAATTATAAGAAACCTAGTCAAAATAATATTAAAAATCCTGAGAAGACCCATATGTGTGCGTGATACACGCCATCTGTGCTTTAATTACAAATAGGTAAAAATAAAGTTTTGCTTTTTTAATAACCAGTTGTAAGACATGAACGAGATAGTCATGATTTTATTTCTTCAGATCATATAAAGCTAGCCCAATCATGGAAAAGCACAACAGAGATATGAAAAGACAATATGGCATGTCCAGAGATTTAAACATTATGGCATGTCCATAAACACTTGGTACACATTTTGCGCACGAATATGAATTGAACCATGTTCTTGTGTACCTCCGCCGCCTGCAAGTATAACAGTGTGGCAAGACAGAGACATGACTTATAGCTGTGCTAAAATTCGATAATTTGTTTTTCAATTCACTACAGTTAGTTGTTTAGTAAATAAATGGTTTCATTATTCAGGAGCCGAACTCCCTAAATTAACAAGCTCAAGGGCAATTTGGCTGTTGATAGTATAGTAGTCATTCATTTCTTTGTGATTTGGTACCTTGGTGCTTTTATTATGTTGAACTTTTTCATTAAAGAGCTTCCTCCCTTTTCAAGCATTAAATGTATTTTAAATTAATGAGTTCAATACAGTTCTAATTATTACATTCAGGATTACACGCTGTTTTCTGATCTCTGAGTGCTTATTCACATGCTTCGATAACCTTACTACTAATAATTTATTTTGGATCTTCAGCGCCCTCCAGTGTCTGAAATTAAGGAGTGCGTGACATATTAAAATCCATTTAATCTGATAATCATAGACTCAGAGGAGTAACCAGGGTTTTTTAGCACCCAGGGCAAAATCGTGTGTTGGTGCACACCCGGAATATTAAAACTTTTGGGGGGGTTTTTGACAATATTTATTTTTCGTGCATGAGTTATTGTTACAAGCATTCTTGCCATGCCCCAAGAGCAGTAGCAATCAAATAAGTAGACAAAGCACAACATTTGTGGCATAGAAAATAAATGCACATTTTGTATAAGGGTAAACAATAGTAATGTAACTGATGTGTCACTCCTGTATAATCTAGCAGGTATGTGAAGTAAGATTGCGTTATATAAGTATAATTCAATTTAGGTCAGGCTAGGTACAGGATAATGTATAGTAACTCGGCTGGCCATCCTCAAGTATAGGCGAGACTAACACACATTAATCATACTTTTCTGCCATTAATTAAACTTGTGACAGATCTTCACCCAAAACACCTTTCATTCACTTGCTAGTTCGTATATTTGTTCACCTCAAACCCCTTCCATTCACTTTCTAGTTCGTCTGTTTGTTCGCCTAAAACCCCTGCCATTCGTATAGTCGAACATGTACTTTGACTATTTTAAATAGACCGGCCACACAGCCTAATTCTCTGGAACTGTTTTGGGCACGTCATCCCACTGCTGCCACCAATTGTAGCGCTACCCCTAGTAGTAGCAGGGTTTCACCGCCAGAGACGTCCTTTTCCCAAAAGTGAGAGGTGCTGTAGCGTTCCCAGAGTCATCCGGGAGAGAAGCAGAAACAGCTCTTACAAGGGGGTGGAAGGGGTTAAACTTACCTCTTTCTCCAGCGCCGGGCGGGGAGCTCTCCTCCTCCTCAGCTGAATGCGCATGCTCGGCAAGAGCCGCACGCGTATTCAGCCACTCTCATAGGAAAGCATTCACAATGCTTTCCTATGGACGCTTGCATATTCTCACTGATTTTCACAGTGAGAAGCACGCAAGCGCCTCTAGCGGCTGTCAATGAGACAGCCACTAGAGGTTGGATTAACCCTAATATAAACAGAGCAGTTTCTCTGAAACTGCTATGTTTATAGAAAAAAGGGTTAACCCTAGCTGGACCTGACACCCAGACCACTTAATTAAGCTGAAGTGGTCTGGGTGCCTATAGTGGTCCTTTAACAACCTAATTGGGTCCTGCTAGATGCTCCCACTTGCATCTCCTTAGCTTCTGGATCTCCTTGCATCAGCTGAGTGCTCTCACACAATTAGCTTGGCACTGTATAGGCTGTAATTTAGATCTATGAAGACATCCGGACCGGTCTCGTCTGCAGGAGTAGAATGGATGCAGCATGGGGGACCTATGTAAACTGTCAAGTTGTTCTAAAAGTTGCATTAAGAGGGCACCAGAGCACTCCTGGAACATTAAACTCTTCATATTGCTGTAGTTGTTAAGGGTGCTTGGACAGTTTTTTT